TATCAATCGTTATTTTTATATTTTTATTATACTGTAGTCTATTTATAAACTATTCAGATCTTAAAACGAAAATATATATATTTTTAAATTTTGTAACAGTTGTTGTCTAGCAAAGGTCAAATATTCTTCTGTTAACAAACACGCTAACAGCTGTTATACCACTTAACATTTTCACTATTTGCATAAACTTCAAAGTTTTTCGCTTACCAATGTAACTATGATGTACAAAAAGCCAAAACACTTTGTGTTAAGCACAGTTGAGAACTTTTCTTTTTTTCTTTGCCACTTCTTTTTGCACACAAATATGCTAATTAGTGCCATGGTGCCCTTCGCGCTAACCGAAATTGACATTTATGCAATTTGATTTTGTGCCGCACAGCAAATTAAATTTGCTCACTTTGCTGGCCACCCGAAAAAGTATGCTCTGTTTTTGTGCCCGCAGCCAAAGCAGACTGAAAGATGTCTGTTATACTTAAGCGTGAGTGTGTGTGCGTGCGTGTGTATGTGACGTTTTCAAACAATTTCACGTTGAAATTTGTTACAAATTGCGGCTACAGTGAAACATTTGCATAAAATTTCCATATGCGTTTTTGTTATCCTGCCTGTTAGCGCGGCGCGGGTCGACCAGGCTAGAATGGGATGGAATGGAACGGAGTGGAATGGAACGGATGCTCATTTCGCTTTTACTATTTGCCGCCTGACTGACAAATTTCACGTGTCGCTCTCGAAAATTTATGAGCTCTTGAAATTATTTGCACTTTTTCAAGTCTCGCGCGCGTCGCATAAAATTTGTATTTTAAGTTCGTTTTTTTTTGTTTGGCGAGCTGGGGATTTGTCCGAGGTGTTAACATGTCCAACTTGCCCACCATTTGCATTTGGGGCTGGACCAACCCTCGAAATAAGGCGAGTTAATTTATTTGCGTCCCATCGAAAAACGCCAAGCGCCAGCCGCCTCTCAACCAATTTTCATTAAAGCACATAAATTGTTGTTTATGGCGCCCCCAAACCCCCAATGGCCAGAGAGATACCTGGGGACCGGCAGCAAATCCAGACGCCGCACTCCAGACGGAGCACACCGAGACAGAGCGGGACTCTGGGCGGGCTGCCCAATGTTTTTGTCCAGAAGTCGACTTCATTTCATATTCATGGGCACGCAATTTGAAACTCCTTTTTTGCTCCTTTCAGCCGGGAGCTGCCTCGTTTTGTATCCGTTAATAAAGTTTGCCAATTATCTTTGCTGCCTGTTGCTGTGCTTTTTGCAGTGACTGTGTGTGTGTGTGTATGTGTGTGGGTTTGGGCCGATAAGTGTGTTTTAGACAAGGCATCTTTGTCCTACGTTGTAATTGCGGTTAGACTACTCAGAATGGGAGCTAAATGGAATTTAAGAGTAAGACTTTAAGTTTTAAATTAGATTTGTTGCTTCTGTTGCCATTGTGGAGCAGAGAATTTTCCATGTAAATTCATATAAACAAACGCTGCCCCCATTACCCATACAACTGCTGTGCCCCAAAATACAAAACTTTACAGCTTAAGGTAGAAGTATTCCATCTGCTGATTGTCGCTGGCTTCCCACACTCTGCAAAGTTTTTGGATCATCAATAGCCGAGCTGAAAAGCTGTCTACAACTAGGAGTAAAGACAGCACATGGCCATCATATCGAGTCACATCCGCCATCAATTTCATAGAGTGCAAAGCGTGTGTGTGCGTGTGTGGGTGGGGAAGGAAAGTGAAAAAGTTGCCACATAAAACCTGCCTCAATATAATTGCATTACACGTGGCTGTCACAAGTGAAAATCCGCACGCAGAACAAAATATGAGTCAAAAAGAAGAACAAGAAAAAAGCAGGAGGCGGCAGTAGCAACAGCAACAGCAACAGCAACAGCAACAGCAGCTGTCTAATGCGACGAATACTCAGCTACCACAGCCATCACACACAGCAGTCCACCCAACCACCCAAGCACCTAGCAGCCGCGCTGTAAACCACAAGCTAAGCTCTTTCTCGGCTAACCTGACTCAAATGTGAAAATGACTTGGCAGGCGACTTTTCATATTTGCAACGAGTTTTGCTCAGCTGCTGGAGTAGCTGCTCACATCTCTTGTCTCTCTCTTGTCTCTCGTCTTTT